GGTACCACTGCAATCCATGCCGATAACCGAGCATTTCAGTCCTGCCTTTCTGACAACCCCTTTTAAATTAGCAAGAAGATAGTTTCAATAAAGTTTCTGGAGTTAAATACTGAAGTTGGTAACCGGACCGACAATCTTATACCTTACGTTAGATATCTTTGGGATCAGATTGCACTAATAATATCGTTATAAAAAGATCAAGAGAAAACATTTATCATATTATAGATAGATCGAAATATATGCAGAAGAAAATATATAATTATTTAATTTAAATTAATCTCCTGGTATTTAATTAGTTTGATGCATTATATAATTGTGTGTTTATACTATCATTAATGAAATAATATGTACTTCAAAAGTAATATTTAAATTAATTATTAATGATTAATATTTATATAATTTCTATTTAATTAACAAAACTTCATATTTCTGTTTTCAGTCTATCTCTCTCTATTTTTTAAATAATTTCTTTTTGAAATTTTTGTTCGTCATCCCTAGTTTTTGTAATATGGTCCTTTGTGCTGCCTTATGTATTGTCCATTCGTTCTCGACGTTCATTTTTTCAAATTCTGTGCCAAATTCATCATTTAAATCATCTGTTGTTTTTTCATATCGCTTTCATGTTTTGGGTATTTAGCGAACATAACTACGATTAATAGCTTTTATAATAATTAATTATTGATTTTGTTCGCTAGCTAATCCAAGTTTTATTGTTTGTATTACACAATTTAAATTTAATTCTGCGTATCACGCTCATTTCGCAGAATTATATATTCTTCATTTCTTTAAAATAATAGTTTTTTGTAAACGTTTTCAAAGATATAAATTAATATACATTTACAACTTTTAATAAATTATATTTTCCTTTTTATATTTGTGCCAAAACCATTAATGGAAAGTTTATATTTCAAATGAATTAAAATAATGTTTTACCTGCAAAATAAAAATTTTGTGAGCGTAACCCAGTTATGCGCCATAATAATAATTGAGTGTTACCACCATGAAAAACATGAATTTGTTGCTCTGCGATTTAAAACACATCGGACTCATCTGGTTTGAACTTTAATGACAATCTACAACAGTTTGCAATCCGTCAGACTGGCTTCTGAGACACATTTGTCGTTAGATGTGAAAGGCCTGTGCGCGTGGATCCAACGTCTGCAAGGAAAGAAATCGGCAGCAGAATAAAATCGCCCTTCTTGTAGGCGATGTATAGTATTTCCGCGTTGGCTTTTTGATTAAATTCATTGTTTTTTATGGATTTCCACCTACCGTTCCTATTTCCATAGTATTTCCGCGTTGGCTTTATGATTCAATTCATCGTTTTTTATGGATTTCCACCTCCGGTTCTTATTTCCATAAGTCTTTTGGCGGCTTTGCTGTTCCGAAGGTGAAATTGTATTTGTGGCATAATAAAAGTGTTGATAGCAACTTTCTGCCACAGGGCCAGTAATGATTTATCGAGTTGTCCTGTCACGGTAATCTCTTTATGTCGTCTCTTGGCATCTTGAATTAGTACGCCAGAACAAAGGCGTACAATTATTTTCCGTAATTTTTGGGCAAAGCGCCGTATTTCTACAAAAGGAATAGAAATGTACATAAATGTATATATTATTTTTATTTACATATACATATATAACCACAATCCCTACCTATATATGTTATGTATGTATTGTGTTTATTTGTATGTATATATATATATATACTAGCTGACCCGGCAAACGTTGTTTTGCCAGCAAAAATATTTTGCCCCTTTGCAGTGAAAATTAGTTCTTATTATCTGAACAACAGCATGGATCAACCTAGATCAATACTATTGATTAAAATTTCCTTAAAATTTATATTAATAAAAAATTAAAAAAACAATAAATTAAAGTTTAGAAAAAAATTATAAAATTTATCCTAAGTAATCAAGTGATGCTTTTACTCAGCGATATTTAATTATATATATATATATATATATATATATATATATATATATATATATATGTTAAAGAAGTTAGTTTTGATGTTGAGAAATATGAATAAGTTCTTCAAGGGCATACATCAAATAAAAGACAAAGATTTAGAAGTTAATCTTTAATTTTTCCAAACGTTTCGACATAGGATTTTATGTCTTCATTAGCTCTTCGCCCATACTTCGAAACACTGATTGTAAAAAAAAACCCGCCAACTATTCCTCAAACTCAATTTTTAAACACATGTGTTATTACAGCCTCGGGTTTGGTCACATAAACTACGTTCTCCGAGCAAAATATATTATATATTTCACAAATATTTTGCTATGCTCTGTTCAACAAAACAAAAAACAAGTTAGTTTATATATGATAGTGCGAAATTATGTGCCATGCGCTAGCTACTGATGTAAGACCATATTTATGTAAGTTAGCTTCGTTGTCTATATATGTGTAATTGTCTGTATTGTATATGTATGTATGTATGTATATATATATATATATATATATATATATATGTGTATATATGTATATACATGTGTGCATATCCGTATGTATATATTTGTATATACGTATTAGTATATTAATAGTATTTACTATTAATTTAAAACACCACCTATATCACTTTCAACTTACATATATTTCATAAATATACAATTGACTGCATATTATTTTTCTAAAATTAAATATTACGATATATAAAAAATATATAAGATATAAATAATTTATTATATTACATACATTATTCTAATTTCAATTATTTACTTGTTTCATATAGCCCTATCACATATTCCCATTCCATTATTATTACTCAATAATGAATGCTTTTATCAATCTAGCTTAAAACTAATTGATGCACAATATTTTTTACCAAATCCTCTTTGGTCAACATATAATTACCTGTGCAAAAAACATTGTTTTTCTAATTCAAGTCCAAAAACGGGCATTGTTTGTCCCTGAGCCTTGGTGATAGTCATCGCAAATGCTAATTGTATCAGAAATTGTAGCTCTTAAATGGTATCGTGCAATCTGATGGTATCGAAGAAATTCATTCTAAAAGATATACTTCTCATTTAAAACTTTCTTGTAGCACATGGCTTCTGTTTTATTTCTAAAGTTTATTGCCTGAAAATATTGGAGCATGTTTGTTGCCTTCGTCAAAATTGGATTGTAATATTAACACAATGTGTTGCAGGCTGTAATATCAGCACATCTTATTCATTGTAGTTTTCTGCTTAATGAATTTACTATCAAACACTTTTATGTTTTAATACTTACATGGTTATTTTTCAATAGACTCAATAGTGCACCATCAATACAATTAACTTAATTAATAATAGTCAGAAACAACTGCACGTTAATCATCCATAGTAGTCATTTGAATATTTGAATTTTACCACTGTGTTTTATTAGATTTAGTTGTTATTAGAGTTAGTTGCTGTTAGGAAAATGATAAATTTTGTTATAATGCTTGATTTGTATCGTGTAATAATATAACGGTGTTCATTATATTAATATACATACCATGAATGGTAATATTCTCTGCTAAAACTCCGCTTTCAATAAGCATTTGACATATAATAACCTAACCTCACAAATATATTTTGCCGTTTGCTTATTATCAACACCAAATCACAATTGGCAACATAAAAATACATAATATTTTTCCAACCGTCACCGTAGCGCATCGTAATGCGTATAGAAACGCATCGTAATGCGTTAACTCCTGATTCGAATCGTTCGTTGCATTCGTGGCTCTATGGTCTTTGCTCTAGAGTGGTAGACTCTCGACAGAACTCAAACTATGGTAAAATGTCAAAATGCTTTTTAATTAAATAATATAAAATTTCGGCTATTAATTGAGATTTTTAATATACCCTATGTCCTAAATGGGATCCATATGTACACGGTTAGCAAAACCAATTTCGGTTCAGTATTTTAGGCGTTCACTGTGGATGTAAGGTGTGACACATAGATAAATAAGCATAAATAGATCGCTATCTCGGGCCATTTGACGTTACACTCATTTTAATTTACGAATAGATCACTACATGGCAGCACATGTACATACAGTATGTAAATTAACCCCTGGTATTACTTCTACATTTGTACATAAAATCAATACAGCCCAAAAATCTGAAAAAAAATATTATTTGAAATAAGAACAAAACATACGAAATACAAAATATATTTTCAAATATATCACAGACATATTTTTGAATAATTATAAACTAAACAGAAATAACTGACTACTATTAATTAAAGTATATTACAGACATATTTTTAAAGTACTTATTCTATTAATATTCTAGAAATAACTTATTCATATTAATTACTTAATGACTAATAATAATATATTAAAAACTTAAAAACTAAGAAGTAAAAAGTGCAGGAGTATTGATGATGTAATGACAAATTTAGAAGGAATGACAAGTAATGCAATAATTTAAAAGGATAAAAAGAACAGCACATTTTTAAAAAAGAATGAATACTTTCCAAATAAAATAATCCTAAAAACAAAACATATATATATTGATATCCAAATTGAGATAAAACTAAATTCCTAGGATTAAAATTCATTTACGAGACATTCTTGTTTATCTCTCCATTTAATAGTTATTTGGCTATCTAATCAATCATTAATAAAGTTATATTTGACGAAATCTTTGAATAGTTTCTGTATAAGGGTTTTTTTAAACGTAAGTAACCAAAACCCTGAACTACTTTTAATTTATACCAATTGTAGCTCAAATCTATCTATCGTTTTAATCCAGTTTTTATTGCAAGGAGGTCTAGTTAAAACTATAACTAAACCCTTGCGCTTTATAAACTGCCTGGTCTTTGAGTATGCTCTTTTAATTGAGACATTATCAAAATTCTTGCCCTTACATTTTAAGTTTCCGGAATATTTGAAAACTTCTCAGAACATTGTATACTCTGTTGGAATTTATCCTTTAAATTATTGCATTGCATTTTAATCCCGAAACAAAATTTGATGTATCATACATCTTCTGGGTATTAAGGCACTCCTACGCCTTATCATTGCATTCTGCGGCAATTTGCAGCTACCATCAAGGACTTCTATTGAATATATTGTTATATCATATTAATTGAAGATATTGTAATTATCATATTAAATATTTTTGCTGCAATTAGTATGAAAAAATACCTTTTCGGAAAACTGGTGTCAGAATAGGTGACTTTTAACCTGCACTTCACAATCTTAGAGGTGCTGCAAAAATCTTTTTCAAGGTGTTTAGGCTTCCATCTCCTAAGAACATAAAATTCATTTATTAATATTTTTTTTGCAAATGTTATTGAAGTATTTAGAGTTATAATTACTTGTCCTTGTCCTTAGAGTTGCAGATTGTTCTTCTGGTTCTGTATCAGAGCATTCTCCAGTGACTTGAAAACTATTTTGTTATTGCCGTAAAGGAGACACTTCTATTTGGTTTCGATTTCAAATTATCGTTGATTTGTGCCACAAACCGAAGAGTTAGGTCATCCATTAAAAGATTATTCGCCCTCTGCATCCAAATTGAAAGCATCTTTTTACACACAAATATATATAATATATATTTACACACACATATATATATATATATATATATATATAACATTTTAATAGTATTGTGATGATACATATTCATTATATGCATAATACATCATTATATACATACCTGATAATTAGATGCCGGAAAGACATGCATTTTTTTATTATATTTGGGGTTATAACAATTTGGCACATAACACTTTATCATTTAAACTTAATAATAAATGAAAAAAGTATTCACCAAAACATAATTATATATAAACAATCACAGAAAATCTCAACTACAATACGCGATGACAACTTGACAACTTATAGAAGATGGCCGATCAAATCAATGTAGATCAACAAGCCAGCTGCTAGATCAATGAAATTGGAAATCGTAGCGCCATCCTTGGAACTATTCAAATACCAATCCATTTCAAAACACGGTAGTCTTCATTTGTTCGGAGATTACCGGCCATGGTGTGACACTAAATTTATATATATTGACCCTTTCGATTCGGATGCCGCTCCGGCGGCATAGTCATTTTACCGTTGCGCTCTGATGCCGCCACTCCGGCGGCAAATCGTGTCGTCGCAAACTAAACTTACAGCATTTAATTTGTTTTCCTTTTTTTTAAATTAATTTACTATTACATTCATTTATTGATTGATTTATTAATTTTATAAATAAATATATAACAAAATTAATTTATTAGCTCATGATCCTCATAATTCTAATAAAGATCTGTGAAGAAATGATTTTTTAAACAATATAGCATGGTTTTGAGTGCAATTTTTTTTAATTTTCAAAATTTTCTATTTTATTATCATAATAACTATATTTGAAAGCAATACAACCACATTTTGACAAAATTTGATACAAAAAAAATTCCGATTTGAGAGATATGTATAGCACTATAATATTCCGAGCGCAGCGTACCGACTAGCAGTCCGACTACCGAGTGGAAAGTATTAAGATATATACATATATATACGTATATATATATATATATATATATATATATATATATATATATCATAGACCTTATACTACAATATAAGGCTTTAGTTGCTAGAACAAGGGTTTAGTTAAAGTTTTGGTTTTCCACTCTGGTAAACAAAAACTTTAACTCAACCGTTGCTTTTTATGACCTGCATTGACTTCAAAACTAGTTTGGCTTTACGCCTAAATATAGTCTCAACCGATTTATTAGAAACTACACATCGAAATTGTTTAACATTCAATGACAATTTAGATAATCTATTGACACTATCAAATCAGTAGTCCATGAACACCAAAAATTCTCTAGTACCATATGAAGTAACACTTCCACCTTCTACTTGGTAACCCGAGTTCTGAAGTCCTTGTGCTACCCGTTGATAAAATACTTGCGCTACAAAACTGACGTTGATACGTTTCATTTTTGTTTGATCAACGTGGTATTTATTCAATGTAGGACAACGACAAAATAAGCTTAAAGTAGAATTATAATTATAATATTCCATGATGCCCTTTCAAGATGCTTCATAAACGCCCCCATTAACTAATGCGGAGTATCATATAAAGGAACAATCTCATGGCCATCTATTTAAAAAAAAAAACGTTTATTTTTGTGATTTTTTTTTGTTTTATAATACTCTTCTGTATATTTTAAAAGCATATTAACTGTTTTACAATTTGCTGCATATTGGTCGCAAGCTGTGGCAATAACATAATAAAATAAAATGAAAAATAAAAATAACGTTTAAACCGATACTAAATGACTTTTTTGCCACTTGAATAATAAGAGATTTTAAATGAGAACTATATACTCCCCCTTTGAAAAAGTAAAAGACAAGTGATTGCTTCCAATGATTATTTATTCCTTTTATCATGAAAGTAAGTGCAGGATCTGCAAATAAACTTTCTCTGCCATTCGCTAGTTCTACAAAACCTACAGTATGATTCTTTCTCTGATTATATGACATTTGTGAAGATAATGTTAGATCATCAAATATCACATTCCAGTATTTGCTACTATCATGGTTTTTATGACAAGTAGCTATTTAATATATTAAATAGGCACTCATTAATACCGCTGTACAAAGGTTTCTCTAAAAGCAACTTTCTCAATGTTTGAGGACATGTCAAAATAAATATGTCTCCAACAATAGTAAGCCTTTTGAAACTGTTTATACAAACTCAAAGCAATAATTTTGTCCTCATCTATAAATTTTCTTTCTTTCGGGCTTTTTGTATAATCTCCTACAAAATCCTAAATCTCCTAAAAACTTTCCGGAATATTTTATACTCTGTTTCAATAAATTAAATTATTTTACATCTTCTGGCTGTTAAGACACTCCTGTGCTTAATCTCACTGCATTCTGTAGCAATTTTCAGCTACCCCCGAGGACTACTATTGAATATATTAACATATTATAATATCATATTTAATTATTATTTCTGCACTTATTATAAAAAAGACGTTTGCGAAAAACTGGAGTCAGAATAGGTGATTGTTTTAAACCGCACTTTTCAAAAATCTTTTTCAAGGTTTTGAGGCTTCCATCCCCTAACTAATGACATAAGGTTTATGTATCAGTATTTTTTGCGAATGGTATTGAAGTATTTAGTTATAATTATTTGGGCTAGGAGTTGAAGATTGTTCACATGGTTCTGCATCAGAACATTCTCCAGTGACCTGAGAACTATTCTGCGATTGCCGTAAAGGAGACACTTCTTATTCGTTAATTGGAAGCATATTAATATATAAATTATTAGAAAAATTAGATTCATTTTAACTCGACCAATCTTGTTAAGTTTCCTTGCCTAATGTAGTTCTTTGCGTAGTTCTGCTACGTCACCTCAACACTTCTTCCTGGTCCGGCTGCTCGGAAGCTCGACATCGCATTATTCTTGCTCACTAGTAAGCTCGTTCAGTCCCAGCGGCATGTTGATCTTCGGTTTCGGTCGCCCCACTGTCGTCCTCAGTCTCCACCACGTCGTCTTGATGTGGTGGAGACCTATCATAAGCGACTAGGAAACGTTTCTGTTCTTTATGCCATGGCGCTTGTAGAGACCCAGCGATTAAATTATTATTAACGACAGAATATTGAACTTCTGTCCATCCAGTTTGTAGTCCGGAATGAACTCGGCGCTATAGCGATCGTTCATTGCGACCGGCGCAGGTGTTGGAGTATCGGCTGGGCTTTCCGTAGCTGCATCCATAAATAAATAAGTATAAATAAGTAGCAAACACGGCCGCTTTGATTTTACATCAATTGTAATTCTTTCAGCATTCAATAGATGTCGCCACCAACTGTAGCACGTAAATTTACCTTTAGGTTCAATTCTAGATTAGATTTATTTGAATATATAATATAGAAAAGATTCTCCTGATTAATTTGACTAAATGAAATTAGAACAAAATATACGCGTATCAAATATATTTTCAACAAAATCACAAATATGTTGTAAAAAATATATGATGAGAAAAAATTAAACATTTTTTCATTCAAAAAAGATATATTTCAATAAATAAAATCGGTATTTTGACAGGCAGACAGACAGAAATAAAAATTTATTCAATATATTGGATACATTTTATGTAAATATAGTGAATTATGTGTGAGTTTTTCTACCCTAGGGTATTCTACCCAAAAATTTCTAGTTTTATATTACTTCCATTGACTATTTATATTTATACAATATTCTATACATTAAGCAAGGTCAAAAAAAGGAGAAAGGTTTTAGTCTCCTAAAAAAATCCTTTATACAGTGGTTTATTGCTTTATATGGTTATTGCGGGCTCGATCAGGTAGTTTGGCATGGCATAATTACCATACCATATCATTTCCGACGTGTATTGGTCTAAAGCTCGGATGGTACTGTTATCATGATCCCTACACTTCCGGTAATAAGTTTCAGTGAGCTTTTTGATGTGTTCGAGTTTTGTCGGTATGTCCGTCTGTTCATGTAAATATTTCGTTGAGTAGTAGTGTCTCGTCAGTGGGTTCCTTGATTTGTCTAGTACCAGTCGCAGTGCTTTGTTCTGTGCTATTTGTAGTCTCCGTCTGTTGGTCTTGGTTGTCGCGTTCCACGCTGGAGCGGCATATGTCAGTAAGGTATTATGAGTGTCAAGTAAAGTGTCCGCTTGTTCTGCACGCTTAGCGGGCTGTTGTGGTTCAAAACATCCAGTAAGCCTGTCGAATGTATGGACATGTCGTTAAAAAGTTAAGTATGGTTGTATATTTGTCATTGTAAGTCATCTTTGTGTTCAGTGTCTTTGTCAGTTTATAAAGCTCACTGAAAAATTTTGATGATCTCACCCATAACAGTAAAAAGTCCCTCTGGTGTACTCAGGTCTGGATCGGACTGGCTGGTGGTAGGCCGGATTCGTGAGGATGCTGGTCGGATCGGTTCTGGTGTTGGCTGGATCTTTGGCGATGGATACTGGGAGGCCGGCGGTGTACGTAGCGATTTTGGTACCGGGAGTTCAGGAAAGGCAGATCTGTTGTTATGGCATCGTTGGTGGGTTGTAAAGCTGACGAGAAGCTCCTCGTCAGCGGCGTTGATGTCTCTTTTGCGCATCTTTGTCTCTTTTAGCTCTATAATTAATTATAGCTGGACCTTTGGAGTAGTTAGCCGGGTGGTTGTCTTGGCAGTTCACGCAATTCGCTTTTTCGGTTGGTGTTTTCGTGCACACTCGCGGTGGGTGCACGTTCGTGCATTTTATGCACCTATAACGCATGTTGCACGTGTATGAAGTGTGGTCAAAGTTTAGGCACTTGTGGCACTGTATAGTATTGCTGAGTGGCCTGTATCTTTCCAATTTAAATATGTATCCTTCTATATTATTTATTTCTTTTAGTTTGGCCATCTCTTGTTCCTTATCTAGAAGGACAATATATATAGGAAGTTTGCGTTGACTGCCGTCCGATTTCTTCCACCTGCTTTACCTTCATATGTTTGGCTTTCAGCTCTTCGAAAACCATCGTCTCAGTTATGTCAGGATTTAGGCCAGTTATAGTCATTTTCTTTGGGATATCGTGTAGTAATGTATAAGTGTAGAATTTAGTTTTTTAATTTTTCGTGTTTTTCAGAGTATCTGCAAAAATTTTATGTAACTGTGGCTTCAAATATTGTGTCCTAAAATTTATTTTCGAGGTATCTTTGATATATTTAATTACTTTCAAATCAAGCTTGCCTTTGACGATTATAGGAGGTATCCTTGGCTCTGGTACGGAGGTTTTCTTGGTTGTTAACTGCTCCGTTC